TTTAGTGTTGATGTTTGTTGGATTAAATTTCTGTATACCTCTGATATTGCCAGTAGTGGACAAATTCAGGTTTTGTTGTGTACATGTAAAATAGATTGAGCTGGATGGTGGCTCTGCCTTATGGCAGCTTTCAATATCATTACAGGTAAACAGCAGTTGTTCATACTGCTCTCAATAATTTGTCTTATTTCAAATCAATCTGTCAATTTCCGTAATTAAATACACCAGATCACATAACATATTGGGGTTGTAGTTGTGGTCACTAATATCGAATTGGAAGCGCTATTAAAGATATTCTTTGTACCATGAAATAAGGAAATTAATGTTTTTTGGTTTGAGTAAATTTTATTTCAGGCTAATACAGTTTATACAACAGCATCTCTGTTGTCACTTGAGGACTGAGAACTTTGTAATCATGGTATGGACATGAAAAGCAATTTCCTTGTACTAAGTTATGAAAGACATATCAGATTTCAAACATTAAACTATCTTAGACATCTATTTTTCTTATTTTCACAATGATTGTCTTGCTATTTGATTGAGAAGATGTGTTTTATGTTGAGCGTCCCTAGTAGTTAAAGACGTAAGTTCAAACTGCACTTGTTTGCTGATCTGTGACATTGAAGATTGTCTTTCTAATAGATGTGCTGCACATTTGACTGAAATATGTGTTGATTTTGTTTCAGATCTCTACAAAAATTTACTTCAACTATTTTCTGATAATATTTTTCTTTGATGATGATCTGGAAATGGGAAGTGGTGGACAGTGTATAGTTGTAGAGGGAGGAGAAATTCTATAATGCATTATAAGGTTATAGACTTTGTACATTACAGTAATTGAAATTGACAGAGCAGAGAGGTTACACCCATTACACCTGATCTGAAATCTTAATCAAACATCAGGAGATGCTCTCTCTAATTGACAATGGGCTTATTATCAGACATAAGCTTACTACTGGATCAATACATTTAAACTTTGTAATGTATATTATATTGTAATTGCAGAAAATTCTATAAACTATTGTAACCATATATAGTATTCTGTCCATGGTTAAGGACAAGGGGCCAAGTATGATTAAGCTTCCTTATTGAAATAGCAATGGAGTTGTAAATTTGTGAGAGTCTGGGGAAGTATACTCCAAGGAAAGGGACAGGCAAGAATAGGAAAGTGTGGAGGGAAGTATACTCCGAGGGAAGGGTCCTGACAAGTATAGGAAAGTATGCAGGGAAGTATACTTCATGGGAAGGGTCCAGGCTAGGATAGGAAAGTTTGCATGGAAGTATACTCCGTGGGAAGGGTCCAGGCCAGGAAAGGAAAGTGTGCAGGGTAGTATACTCCGTGGGAAGGGTCCAGGCCAGGAAAGGAAAGTGTGCAGAGAAGTATACTGCGAGGGAAGGGTTCAGACTTGGATAGGAAAGTGTGCAGGGAAGTATACTCCGAGGGAAGGGTCCAGGCCAGGATAGGAAAGTGTGCAGGGAAGTATACTCATTGGGAATGGTTCAGGCCAGGATTGGAAAGTGTGCAGGGAAGTATACTCTGTGGGAAGGGGCCAGGATAGGAAAGTGCGCAGGGAAGTATACTCCGAGGGAAGGGTTCAGGCAAGTATAGGAAAGTGTGCAGGGAAGTATACTCCCTTGGAAGGGTCCAGGCCAGGATAGGAAAGTGTGCATGGAAGTATACTCCATGGGAAGGGTTCAGGCAAGTATAGGATAGTGTGCAGGGAAGTATACTCCGAGGGAAGGGTTCAGACTTGGATAGGAAAGTGTGCAGGGAAGTATACTCCAATGGAAGGGTCCAGGCCAGGGTAGGAAAGTGTGCTGGGAAGTATACTCCAATGGAATGGTTCAGGCCAGGATTGGAAAGTGTGCAGGGAAGTATACTCTGTGGGAAGGGGCCAGGATAGGAAAGTGCGCAGGGAAGTATACTCTGAGGGAATGGTCCAGGCCAGGATAGGGTAGAGAATAAATACTTGATTATAGGGTTAAGAAGAGTGTAACATAGACAAGGGACAGTAAGATAAGGGGATTAGATGCCCTTGATAAGGGCTGAGTGAAGTATATTTGATAAACAGATCAGGTGAAAGTAGTATTAGTGTCTTAGGGATTACACTTGATAAGGAGCTTCTACTGTTGTACTGGTGATAAGGGGCCAGATTTTATATACAGTAGCAGAACAACCTACATAAGGAGTTACATTGTCGTACCTGTCATAAGGGGCTAGTAATAGGGTCTTGGGATAACCGAAAATAATAGGTCCCGTGGGGGGCCGTAATCAAGATAAATAAATGGGCTTATTCCACAGCAATGGATAGAGTTTATTGGCATTTAGAAAATCAGAAGTGATGTTAGTGGGCTTATTACCAGACATGATCCATTTGTTGGATAGATAATATATATTTCAGAAGGGGTGAATGAGAACACTTGTACCTCAGTTTCCTCTGTTAATGAACTGACTTTTAAACACAAATCAATGTTAATTGCGACGTATCTCTAAATCAAACGCAGTTTTGAGGAATCACATGATGTGTATGTTAGATTTGAAGATTGTGCATTTTTGATAAGAAACCCTTACTGTGTTGACAGAATATTAGATAAAAGCAGGGTGTTTCATCACAAATCATCTTGACTTTTTTCTATGAGTTTAAATCACGCACAATCCATCTCATAGAAACAGCTGTGACGGTAGATATATGATAGATTTATACAACGGCTCACAAATGCTGTAGATATAGATTTCCATTGAAAAGACCACGATTGATGTGCAACATATGTGTGTATTATTAGCCTATAGGGATTGTCCGTTTCTGTGTCGTCAGACGATTGTCGTCATCCTGCGAAATCAATCTCACCTGTGACCACTACAGCGTTAGGCCTTTGTGTCTCAACTGTCATTGTCATGGTTAGATGGACTCTTGGCATTGTAGTGCCTTAAAATCTTGTTTACTACTGATCAACAAACAATTGATTCATTTCTATTGATGATATTTTCCATACTCTCCAAGCTGATAAAACTACACAGAATAGCAAAACATCGTTACATTTCTGCATGTAGATGTGCAGTATACTTTGTAAATTTATAACTGTCAGCCATGTAACCTTTGATCTTGTTTGAAATATCTGTTGATAAGGAGTTACTCTAAAAATAAAGACAAACCAAGGAGTGGGGAAAGAGGGGATGGGTGCAATAATAAAGTTATGAACCAATTAATTATATTCAATCTGAGAAGGTAAACATTTTGTGTGTGTCTTTGGTTTTTTTTTTTTTTTTTGTCGTTTGTGTCTTGTTTGCGACTGCAAAAAAGATTTACTGTGTTATTTTGCCTGGATGTTTTTTTCAATCTTTTAAATGTTTACATGATATATATCTTAACATAGAAATGTTTAAGAAGTGGACATTTCTGTTTTGTTAAAATTTTTATTAGTTTAATCAACATCAGAACAATATTCTGAGATTAACAAAGCTTTCCTTGCCAAAACAAAATCATGAAATTTTCATGCCTTTTTGTATGATATATAGAAATACAGACTAGAACATTTTGCTATGGAATATATAAAACTATTACAGAATGTAATCTCTTAGTCTTCCTGGTGATGAATGGTTGACCTTTTGACCCCAGGTGTCAGCTGGGGTTGCAATTAGTGAACAGAATAGACTGTTAATGAGGCAGCGTTACATTCCGAAAAAAAATTCTCACACTGTTGTATTATAAACCCTAGTTATTCTGTCAGTATATGGAAATATGAAGTGATTTGGCAGTTTATTGAAATAGTGTTATGTCATTACAGTAGTTTTTTTTCCCTGAGTAAGATTTTAGCATTGCATCAAAATCCTGGTGCAATCATCATCATCATCATCATCATCATCTAATCAAATTTAAGCAATGACATCGTAAAGTGTCGAGTAAATGGTACTATTCAAAAATATGGAACATAAATTGTCATCAGTTGGCAAGATTATGAAACTTCATTTTAAATTTGAGGTTAGATGTAACATATTTATGTAACACTTTTAACTTTCATTAATATTAAGTTCATGAATTTGAAAAATTAATTCATATCTTTTTCTAATCTTTTTTTTTCCACACATTGTCTTTGTGGCAAGGATTTTCCATCTTTAATAATGGAATTTCTTTGTGCAGTAAAAATAAGTTTCAGTTGTAAACGTTTTCCAAAATTATCTAATATATCAACAGGGTGATGGAAGTGAAAAAGTTTTGTTGCTTTAATAGAGTTAGGGAACAATTTAATTTTGGATTTGATGTTTTTCTTGATTCTGAATCCAGTACCTTTGTCAACTGTTGGAGAGGCATGATGAAAATCCTTGAAATCTTTTTGAATGATTGCCAGCTGAGGAAAGCTTTATGTCTTTCCTGACTGAAGAATGAGCTGTAAAATCAATACAGTACATAAGATATACGATATTTTGTTGTCTTGTTTTTTTTCTGGTCCACTTCAAATTCTATGTAAAAAAAACAACACATTGTAGTTTATTGCCCATAAGTGTTGAGATATTTTGAGCAAAAACAATAAAGTAGTTATTTTTGAGAATGGTAACACATGTTTTGAGAATGAAATTTAATTATCTCTCCTGCTTTTTTTTTTTTTTTTTGATGTAAATTACTACAAACAGAATATTTATTTGAGATTTTGAATTGAATTTTATCAAAAAGAAACAACTTACAACAAAATTCTGAATGAAAAAGTTACATTTTTGAAGATAAAAATTCATCAGGATTTTTATTTTTTCATTTTGATAAAACAGTAATTTGTGTGAAAATAAGTGTTTGTACACTTATATTGTTTGGTCTATGATGTACTGGAGTAATATTAAGTTACAGATAATTCAGTAAATCAATATTGATACCAAATTGGAAAGGGTAAGATTTGTCGATATCTTTGTTTTGCTGGTACGAAGTAGGGAAAGCATGACTTTGATGTTAATTTTTCATCGACATCTTCACCAACATTTTGAAGTTGAATTTGTGTATTTTCTGTTACAGGTAATGCGAGAGACTGTTGATGAGTTGAAGGGAAGCCCAGAAGATGGTTGTTACATCCGAGGACTTTACCTAGAGGGCGCTCGCTGGGACAGCACCCTCCACCAGCTAGGCGAGTCTCGACCCAAGGAACTTTTCACCGAGGTTCCTGTTATCTGGCTGAAACCAATCACCAACCGCAAAGCAAAGGACAGTGGCTTTTATGAGTGTCCAGTTTACAAGACACTGACCAGAGCTGGTGCGTAATCTTCGATAATTTTTTTTTCAAAATTTGATACAAAATTTGTGGATAATTCTACTATGCTTTGAAATTTGTTGCAGTGTACTGTGATATTGGTGACATGTAGTGTTGTAAATTTTGACATTTAGTAGGGTTGTCCCTATACCAAATCATATAGTCATAGGAAGGGGGAGGGGTAGGGGGGGAGAATGTCATTCACATCTCCATCTACACACTAAATTTACAAATGGAACATTATCATAAACTATTTACATTGACCAATCAAATATTGTGTTAGATCTTGAATGAAAGAAAAAAAAGAGGAGGGGAGGAATATGTTACGAAAACTAGAAATGATAACCAATGATCATAGTTAACTGAAGGAAACTTTAAATAAATAGCTTGCTTGGTTTGGTAGGTAGGTTTTGGACGATGTACCCACAGGCAAGTAACCACAGTATTGCTTCCACCTACACCTTAGCATTGAATGGGAAAGGTTTGAGACTGATTGACAGAAATAGATATCTTACAGAGATCTTCATGGTCAATATTTGGACTGTAATAATTGTTTTCTGAATGTCCTGTCACCCCCGGGGGTAGGGACAGGTATATCTGATGTATCAAAACTTTCTGTAATGGCCAAGTAATGGTTTCATTGTGGGATTATCATCAAGTCCTGTGGATATATATGTACTTCTGTCAGACATACTTAGGTGATGTAAAGATAATTTATAAAATCTATTTATACCACCAATTTTGTGGCCGAGTAGATGCTATATTACCTACAAGGCATTTTAGTCTTACTGCTTCACTTTTACAACAATCTTACAAGTTGCCTGATCAATTCTGAATCATTTCATCAGAGTTTTTGACAAATATATCCAACTTTCTTCTCATTTAGTAGGATGAAGTGTTATTATTAGTAATTATTTGAGTGCCTGAGTCTTTGGAGTTATACTTTCATTTATCTATAGTAAGAAGCTTTTCACAACCCTAAAGATAGAATCAGTAAAATTTGTGAAAATTTTGAAATCCTTCAATTAAAATTTACAAGTACAAAAAAAAGGGTATTTCATGTATTTTGTAAAAAAAAAAAAAAAAAAAAAAACTTATTTACCAAACTCTTCGCAGTTGTTTGGTTTAACGCCTTCTGAAGATGAAATAAAGAAGAAAAATTCCTATTTCACTGTGTATACAAAATAAAGTATAGATAGAAAGACTTTTAAGTTACATTGGTATGGAAATGAATTTCTGGTTAATGAAAGACAAGCTGATTTAGACCTATGTTCAGGAATGAAAGTGCATTCATGGGCTTACCGGCAAGGATTTTTCAACTTTAATATTAAAAACAACAGATCTCACAATGTGAAATTTAAGTATTCCCAGAAATTCTATGAGTCCCATGGAAAGTCTATGAGTACAGGACTCTTGACTCACATTTCTTTAGGTTACCCTTGTTTGGAAGACCTCAGCAATGAAATACATATGTACAATGTATTGTGAAATAGATAATATGTTCATGAATATTCTTAATTGTCCAGTAATTATGGACTGACTATTTGACCTTTTGTACATTTCAGGTACTCTGTCCACTACTGGTCATTCCACCAACTTTGTGTTTTCTGTTGAAATGCCCACTGAGAAGACACAGAACCACTGGATTAAACGTGGTGTGGCCATGTTGTGTGCTCTCAATTACTGATTATCTCCCTTGGATTATCTCCCTTTAAAAAGGGAAACACTGAAAAATGTGATAACTTATATAGAAAATGTGATATTTATTTATTTATACAAACCACATGAAGATGAAAGGAAGAATTCTCTATAAAATCTTTGAATACATGAAATGATATTATACTGACCTTAGCAAAGAAAAAGAAAACAACACATGAAGATGGATTTGGATGCCTTCGCAAATCTTTTTTTTATTCCCTGTATGAGACTGTTATGGACATAATGATATGAACTGTGATATATCATCAGCCTAGATTTCAATCTTATGGAGAAAATATGCCAAATAATGTTATGTTGAATTTACAACCACGTATACTAAGATAAACTTCACCGCTACTTTTAGATTTTAGGTAGCAATGATATTTCAGTGCCTAGTTGAAATTTATTTCATCTTTTACAAGGAACACTGGTTTAAATTATTTTTTTACATTAAACACTAGAAACAACAGTATTAGTTCAGCAGTAAACATGTTTGAATATATTTTGCAAGTTATTTTTCAACTGAAATACAGATTTGTATGGAGAAATGTTGTGCAGCAGATTTGAACAATTTATAAGTCTTTTTGGAGTTGAACAATGGTGGAATTTTTTTTTTTTTTTATTTTTGTATTTAGCAATCCTTTTTTTCAGAATTCTCACAGATTGCAAAAATAAGAAATGTACAAACAGAATATTGATTATATAAATGTATACCTAGTTTGGAGTGATGCTTATGCCATCATTCTGCCATCTGTGACCGACGTTTGTAAAATAAGAAAGCTTACTTAGTAATTGATTTGAATACAAACTGTATATAATCCAAAGTCGATTTGTGTCACAGCTTTGCCACCATTAAATCAATATATGGAATATGATCTGATGCAAACTGTAGTTGAATATCATCAGACTCTCTAAAAGTTTTCTCAAATATTTACACAGCAGCATGAATAAATACGTGGAATAAATATGATAAATTAGGCAATTTTTATCATTGTTTAAGAAGAATTTCTGCTTCAAAGTTTTGAGATTTTTTTTCTCTGAAAAATTTTAAAAAACATCAGTATATTCCAAGAAAATTTGTACATTCCAAAGCAAATGGATTTCTATTCAACGTTTATTTCAATAATTTCATAAATGTCTTCATGTTTAAAAAATTCATGTACATTGGGGTTGTGAGTTTCATATTGATATTTTTTGTTTTTTAGACATTCCGTCCAATACTATTGTAATATCTTTTTATTGTTCAAAATAGTCATAATGAAAATCTACAAAATATATTTCTTTTTTAGAATAGATTGTTGAATTCAAGTACGTTCAAATAAAAGATAAACAATTATCATAAATGTGAAATCCGTCCACCTCTTTTTTTAAATGAATTTTTTCAAATGATATTTATTTAATTTTTTTTATCAATCATGAAATTTATTAATTTTTGTTTATGTAAAGAGAGCTTGATAGCTATTCATTTATGAACTTACAAAGCTATAAAAATTCAGTTATTGTTGATTTGTTTTGAAAAAAAAAATATTAAAAAAATCAAATAAAAAACATAAAATCTAATGTTGTGTTTGTTTTATTGAAGTTTCTATCAAAGTGTGAACGCTGCATCCTATGAAGTACTCCCAACTTTGGATTTTCTCATGACCTTGTCCATCACAAGATAGATGACCAGAGAACATTGTCACAGGGGCTTGGTACAATTTCTCACACCTACAGATCACAGGATGAAGATATAATCCCAAGTTCCTGTGTTTTTGAACACAAGAATCATCAAACAGTTTCTAAGAGACTCTGAAGGACTTCCAAATTTGGATGTCTGCCTTCTTCTCCATCTTACTATCACCATCTAATATTGATAATATGGTCAAAATATCTGTTATCAAATATTGATGGTAAGATCCTCCCTGGTAATATAAATGATAAAGAGGAAGAAACCCTCTGTTGTAAAAGTAAAAAGAAAAATATTTGACCAAATCTGTATCCCCATTCTCAGATGTTATTCTCATACCATGGAAATCTGCTTAATATCATGTCCAATATTTCTGTAGAAAATGTGATATTAACAGGAACATGACATTAACAGATTTTTTTCGTTCATTGGAATCTGAAAGTTAACTTTCTGGAGGATTGATTCCATGTTATTTTTTGTATACAAATCATATACTTAAAGCTGACACTACAGGAATTGTTTGGTAGATAAAGCAGCAGCTCAAACAAAATTCCACAAAGGCTGGAACACTCATCATTTCTATATATTGTATCAGAAAAACTAAGAAATCAATTTTTAAGACCAAAACAGCTATTTCAGTTTATTTTTTACTTTCAAAACTAGATTTCATTCAGAAGCTGATAATTTGGTCTAAACCAAATAGAGTCTACTACCTCAAACTTAGCAGTGCTGCATGGTACCTATCATTTAACCTGTGAAGATAGATTAAGAATAATTCCTGTAGATCATTCAGTGCTGTAATGAATTTGAAAAAAAATCACTTAAGGTGAAAATATTCTTCAGTTTTTTCATGTAATAAAAAATAGTCTAAACCCAGGAACTAATACCTTATATTGTCTGTATTAAGGGTTTTGGTGATGGCTCTGTGACCAAAAAATGGTAAGCTCCCTTTTTCAATTAACGGAGTTTCCCTATGACTTCTACATCTGACGCTCGATATTTTGACAGGCGGGACATTTATGCGTCCTCAAACTGTCTAAAGTCGGGTGTAGCGGGAGCTATCAGTTGTTTGTACGTACGTACACGTATATCGGTACAAAGTTTACGCCTTGTGACGTGCTCGTGACGTCATATTGGGTTTTATCACGCTAAGTGACTTTTGCAGGAACCACTCCATGCCTCGTCAATGGTTGTAGCTATTTTGTGAACGCTCTTCTACAATATCGTTTCAGCAGTTTAAAATTCTTCATAAGCTCTTAAATATCAAGATCGATTTCGCTTACTTCTGATCGGCATATCTTTAGGTTTTTCATTTAAACCGCTAGAGAACCTTGTGACGTCATATTCAAGTAATAAATGGATTCCGAATGACGGAGGTAAAGCATCAAATATTCCTTAGATCTCGTTTTCTGTAATTCTGTGAACTGGATTGGAATTACACAGAAAGTTAAAACGAAATTCTCCTTTTCATTATGAATGCTTATACGCGTATAAGGACTGCATGTATTGTTGTATTAAACATGCCAAAAATGTTCATTTCTGTATTTCTGCATTTAGACGACACTATTCAAACCTGTATATTTTTATGACCTATGCGTTTTCTGCTTCATTTATTTTACAGGAACTCGTTTTGGTACCACGAATATGCGGTGAAATCATTTTCAGTCAGGACTCGGGGAAGTGCACTGCATTTGCCTATCGAATATATTTTTTCTTCCTTTTAAAGAAATAATTTTCCACATAAGGTTGTCGCAATATGGCCCGAAACCACGACGCCAAAACGCTTGCATCCGGTGATGTAATTTCCAGTCATCAAAACGTTTAGAAGTCGAGCACGAGCGAGACAAATGAGTCATCTGGAAATATAACGTTACCATGTTACAACCATCGGCTTGTTCCGGCCTTGCCATGGTTTGCGGAGATCACGGGAACCAGCTGGCTACCTAACTTTCTGTGCCACATCACATTCTATTATTTTTCTTGTATTTCTTTCATTAGTACTAACAAAATATCGGCACTCTTAGCGCGATTGAAACGTCATCTAAGAATCTACGAGCAAAAGGTATTAGGCAAGGGAACGCTGAAATGGTGTTGTTTTTTGTTTTTGTTTTTTTATCGTTTTGGGGTTTTCTTCCTTGAATTAACCCGAAGTGAAGACGATGTAAATGGCTTTAAGGTCAACTAAAGGTCACTTTGAAGTGTAGACTCCCTGAAATGGCGTATCTGGCCCCGATATCATTACATTTTATCTGGTAAAATTATACCGAAAACGAGCGAGCCAGTCCTAACCACACTGTACTTCTAATAGACACTGAAAACAAAACCACCCTCACAAAAGTTCAGCACCAAGACCCAGGTAAAATTACCGATGAACGCATTAAGAATACAGAAATATTGGAATCCCAAACATTGCAGTATAGACCATAGATTTTAGTTGGTCGCATTCACGCCCCTCCTCCCACCCCACTCCCTCTACCCAACCCCAGTCCTGTTCTATTATTAGTTTATAATTAAACTCAAGGTTTACACGGAGACCCTTGAAAAAAATAAAAGAAGATGACCAGGTGATCTGGAAGAGTAAGCGTCTTCTGTTTCATTAACAACATCCGCCATGTAAATATTGGTCAATCACTTATGTCACGTTCTCAAATGAGAACAAGGTATACAACAACGGAATCACTGAGCACATCGACAAGCATGTAACTCGTCCAACTTCATTTCGCACAAGGAAACAAAATATATCTCAATGAGATCGTAATGGTGACTATGAATATCATTTCAGCATTGTATCGTATGACGAGGAACTGAACTGACGGAAGGTTTTTAATCACAAACAGTAACCGTCTCCTCTCCACCTTCTTCCTTTAAAGAAGATGTCGGGTTTTTTTTAATAGTCACGAAACATGGTTTTTTTCCTAGTTAAGTGTTTAGATAAAATCCAGACGGCTACAATAACATCTTCAGTGAAAACGATGACGTAAATAAAACAATCTGTGACGTCAGGGTTAAGATTGCATCGGTAGATCGCCCCAGTAAATATAATATCAGGCATTAGACGCTGTCTATGTTTCCTTTTAATAAAAATCAACACTGATCTATAAAATATACATATTAAAAAATATCACAACTTTATTAATCTCCCTGAAGGTATATTCATTCTTTGCTATGTTTCTAACGAAAACACGAAGTTCAAGGACTTTTTTTTATCACGTTAAATATTACTGTGAACATCGTTAATATCGACAGAATTTCAATGCCAGCATTTACATCAGAGGAAATTGATATACAGTAATATACACTAGCTTCAAAGAGCTGTTATTTAAACATGATCTATGTCGACACATTTCAATTATTTGATGTATGTAAATTAAATGTAATGCAGATAATATGATAGAATGCATGAGCGGTCCTTTGACTTTATAAACCCGAGGCCAGAGTGTCTTAATTGGATTTTGTTTGTATATCATATCTACCCAGTATATCTACATTAACTAGAAGCCGCCTTTCTATGTTACCGCCCCGGTAGGAATCGGTTGCACCGATTCGCGCCATGCCGGCGGAACGTCCAATATACCACGGTACATGTACACTCAAAAATGCCGGTAGGTCGCTAACCCGGGGTCATAATGTACAAGCGAACAATATTGATATTTCTGTGAAAGGATCAGAATTATTTCGGTGTCCGTTATGTAAATATTTGTCTAGTTATGACAGAAATCGTCCGAAAATGCGCCGGCCTATCAAATAATAATATGTAAGGGTGACGTAATATTTGATAACATAATTATTGCAAATATATCGATATTGTCTGGTATTTTTTTGTTTTTTTGTTTTTCTTTTTTTGTTTCGTTTGAGTAAAGAGATAGAAATGAGAGACAAAGAATGATGTAAAGTAGGGGTTACAATATAAAGGAATTCTTGATGTC